TTCATTATGATTCAGAAGTAGTTAGCATTAGCTAGGATTAATGCACACAAATTTTGCCAAAGATGACTTCTGCGGTCGCTTAAACTAGACACGGGCCTTGCAGTTCGACCCTTGATTTCAGGTTTAGGTCAGGCTTTATTTACATGCCTCACGCCATGAATTTAATCAATTTTGGGTCGGTATTACCCGCCCAACTTTGCCGCTCGTATGGAATCCACCAGAATGACTTCTAGGGGGACCTAATTATTAGGAGGTTTGGCCGATTTACTTAATTTGAGTTGAACCAATTGTGAGAAAACTCGAGCGGTTCGGTGGGATTTGAACCCGCGTATCAGAGTTTTTTCACAATTGGGTCAACTCAAATTAAGAAAATCTGCCCAACCTAATAATTTATTATGTAAGTTTTCGACGCAGGATCTCCTCGTCATATTCAGACATGATAAGCTGTGTAACAAAAAACTAAAATTTTTAAACGTTCGGAAAATCAATATTCATCTGACGTGTATGCCGATTTGCAGGATTTTCATTCTGTGCTAGTGAGTGTTACGTGCCTTTCGTCATTCGGCTGTATTTGGTGGCGCGCGTTGATTTTGGCTTTGAGGTAGCCATAGCTGGCGTCCAAAGCAATATGCCTGTTGATGCATGCCTCGTGTGAGTGCATTGCCTCCAAGAATTCACAGCCTTTTCTAGTTGGATAAGTGCCAACAATCCGTGTGTTCTCCCATGTGAATTTGTGGCCGGTTTCCAGCGTGTGCATGGCCACCTGACATAAGTGGTCTCGTCTTCTGACCAAAGAATTTATTGTGCACGGACCCCGGAGTTGCTGTCTCAGGCTGTAGTGGTCACTGGCAAAGCCAGGGCTGGTCTTGACTACCTCCAGTCGTCTCTAAAAGTGGTATAGAGATGGCGATGCAACACGTGTTATCGCCCACTGGTATTGACTGGAACTTGTGATTTTGTAATCTGTTCGCCTTCGCACCAGGACACTGAAAAAGGGAAGTTTGTCATTTCTTTCCGCTTCCATCGTGAATTGGATATTTGGGTCAACCGAGTTTACTAAACCTTTGAGGTGCTCCATGTCGGATGTTTTGACAGTAACGAAAATTTCATCGACATAACGAACCCAAAACTTCATTTGACACTTGATGAAGACTGAGTGTTCAATCCGTTGAAGGACCACTTCAGTAATCAGGCCTGATAGGGGGGAGCCTATTGGAGTGCCTTCAATTCGTTCATACATTTGTCTTCCAAGTGTGAAGTAAGTTTAAAGCCGTGGCATCCCCAACTCTTAGTGACTGGAACTTGTGATTTTGTAATCTGTTCGCGTTCTGCTTCACGATAACTCGTCTTTTCCACATAGTCTGTCACTATGTGTGCTCTTTTTATTCTTGTCCCTGTGCGGATGCTCTCTTTTTACGCTCTCCTATTTTGTTTTACAGCGATTTGGCAGCACGCAACTGTCTGGTGGACGCTCGAGGCGTCGTCAAAATTGGCGATTTTGGCCTCTGTCGTGACATTTATGAGCGCAATTACTATCACAAAATCGGCGCGGGTAAACTGCCCGTTCGGTGGATGGCTCCAGAGTCGCTTAAGTCGGCCTATTTCACATCCTCGTCTGATGTCTGGTAAGCCCTGCGCGCTTTCCTTTCATCTGCTACGCGCAAGCCTCAATTGCTACTACTACTACTACTACTACTACTACTACTACTACTACTA